GGACCAGTCTGTGAATATGAGCATTTTAAGACAAGTTAAAGGCTTCCAAAAATCATGATAAAAATTATGAGTAAACTAGACTCATTTTAGGAACTCTCAGAATTTACGGACCTAGTTTTTGACTTCGTATGATTTTTCTAAAACAGTGCATAAAGATTAAGAATTAGTTAACAGCTTCTAACTATCAAAACACTTTGTAACATGTTGAGCAAAGTGTTAAGTCTTTGATGACTTCATATATTACATGTATTTCTTGTTATGATATATTTGTATAATAGGAAATTACTTACTGAATTTATAAGAATCCTCCATCATAATCATTAGTACAAAACAAAGCAAGTTAAACATAACTATATTGTACTATACATTTGACATACAAAGAATGGGATTCTTAAACACCACAAAGAAACATACTAAAGTATAATAGGTATAGTTAGGGTACATACACATTTCAAACATTTTAATAAACTCTAATAGGTATAGTTTATGATCATTTACATAACACACTCGTACAAAAAGAAAGGGTACAAATACAAAGTGTCGGGTTTATATACAAAAGGGGGTACAAATACAAAGTACCGGGTTTTTATACAAAAAGAAAGGGTACAAATACAAAGTGCCGGGTTTATATACAAAAGGGGGTACAAATACAAAGTACCGAGTTTTTATACAAAAAGGGGTACAAATACAAAGTGTTGGATTTATATACAAAAAGGGGTACAAATACAAAGTGTCGGGTTTATATACAAAAAAGGGATACAAATACAAAGTGCCGGTTTTTATACAAAAACGGGTACAAATACAAAGTGTCGGGTTTATACACAAAAAGGGGTACAAATACAAAGTACCGGTTTTTTATACAAAAAGGGGTACAAATACAAAGTGTCGGGTCTTTATACACAAAGGGGGTACCGATACAAAGTACCAGGTTCACTTAAGATAGTTATTATGATATTAAAACTATATTTCATCTAGAATTGTTAGACTTCAACTATAATCGTTGAGCGTATATGTTTGAGTCATATTAGAATTTAGTCTCGATTAGCTTAGAATTAGTGGGGCCCACCTCATCTCCTGTTCCTCGTTGGGTTGTGGACCTAGGGCAGACCCACTATATTCAACGTTTTATCTATTTTAAACCTTATATAACTTATATACGCTGGACGATTATAGAGGAACTCTACGGGTCATTCTAGGGTTCATTAATGCATCATATAGGAATATTTCTATTCACACTTAACTAAGAAAATATGGGATTTTCTGGAAATCAAACTATATCGATTTTACAAGGAAAACGGTTTCTACTTCAAACAAAACTCTTATGAACTCACCAACTTAACTGTAGACACTTTTTCAAAACTACTTGTATTCTCAGGAAATCAGTGAAACAGGAAAACTTCAGCGCTTTGAAGATGGGACGTTAAACCGTCAACAATTTATTTTTATCATCATAATGTAATTGATTTTGAATCATGTAAACATATACTTTGGTGTAACTTTTTCAATTATATTTATGATGGTTGTATTTACTTTGAGCACTATTATATACGTTGTTGTGATATTGTACATGAATTCCTCCACCCCTGGACGTTTCCGCCATCCTTGGTTTGGGGGTGTGACAGTGCATAAAAAGAACGTCTAAATCTGACTTCGGATGAGGAAGTTATGATTTTTCGAAGTTTCAGCATTAGTAGTATGCAGCCCGAAACTCTAGATTGAGGTCGAGTGATATTTAGCCAAAACTTTCTAAATGAGAATTGAAGATCTCATCAATAGTATTCCAGCGATAAAAAAGACAGATGAAAACAGAGTTCAGATGAATGAGTTATGAATTTCGAACGGAGATTTCCTTTCCCGGCCTACTAAAAATAATATATAAGTAATATAATTATAATATATTAAAAATAAAGTCAAAATTAGCCAATGGAGTCTAAACGAGAGTTGTAGAGCATAATCTCACCTTCGGTCGATATAAAGAACGTCAAAAACGGAGTTCGTATGCGAAAGTTATGAATTTATGAAGTTCGGGGCGCGAACCCCAAAGTTGTGTCAGAGACCACGACGTGGCCAGCAGTGCCACGACGTGGCAAGTCTTCTGACACCTCTGGGAGTCCCCCGACACAACTTGCGATGACGTATGCAGTGACGACCAAGCCCACGACATGGAAAAAGGGTGCCACGACGTGGCAAGGGCCAAATTTGCCATATAAATAGATTTGAAGGGCCAGCCGTTTAGGGTTGCTATTTTCTCTCCTCTCTCTCCCGTTTTACCTCGATTTGCATGCAAGAAATATCCCGAAGCCCGAAGATCCCGAGAAGAAAAGAGTTTCCGAGCAGAAGCTCTGTGCGCGAGAAACCCGGTGTGTGAAGTGATCCCGGTTTCACCGAAGAATACTACTTCTACAAGTCGTAGTGCTGTCTGATCATCTTCTGATCATGTGAGTGTATAGTCACTTTCATCTTACACATAGATATGAAGTATTTTATTAAATACATGCTATGTGTATTTATATTGTTGTTTATATGTGTGAGTGTGTAGTTACTTTCTTCTAACACATAAATATTAAGTATTTGCTATGAAATACATGCTATGTGTATAATATAAAGTTGTTTATATGTGTGAGTGTATAGTCCCTTTCATAAACACGATTTTAATACAAGTATTGTTTGAATGTACTAAGTATATGTGTTATGTGAGTGTATCGATGTTATCTTCTAATCTCATAGATATGATTTATTCTCTATGAAATATGTGTTATGTTTATGTGCCTCATCTTTTATCTAGAATGTGTTTTAAATGAACATACTATACAGGTATAAACTATGTCTAAAAATGTATATTTTATCTAATAAAATGTTGGGTAGAACATGGGTAGATAGTTGTCTTGTGATAAAAGGATGAGAGACCTCGATGTCATTGTAATCCAGTCATCTAGCGGAATTTAGATGACGACCACAGACTTTTCTAGACAGTCCAGTGGAACGCTAGCAGGCTCATAACCTGTAGGTGTTAATGAACTTGGGTGTTCATTCACTGTATTCCATCCCCCTCATGGTTGCCTTATTTGACTTATATTGCCGAGGAACCCCCGAAGCATGGGTTGTCGCCCCGATGAAGTATTCAAAGACTAGGTCCCTTGTGTTAGTTGTCTTAGGGATGTAAAGTGAGAATAACGGGAATGGGTAATTGGGTTATTATTGGTTGATGAAATTAAATTAATTATTTATTGTGGATTGAAAACCCTATATGCTCACCAAGCTCTCAAGCCTGACCCACTCAGTTTTCCTTGCATTGCAGGTAATGGCACAAGAGTATAAGTTGGTGGACTTGACGAGAGGTTTTGAATTATAGATCAGTAGTTATAAATAATTGTTGTAAGGTCTAATTTATATTGTTTATGCTTTTGGTCTGTATCGGAACATGACATCCCGAGGTTTTATTATTTAATGAAAATACATTCTCATTGAGAAATGTTTTGATAAATGGTTATCATATTTTGTTTTTGGGACAAACTCCGCATCTATTTTCCTTAAAAAGGATTACTCTGTTTTTAAAATAAAGCATAAACAAATCAGTCTTTTCTGGCCATGAAATTGGGGATGTCACAGAAGCTTCGGTTTATAGCGGCTCAACCATCATCTTCGTCGAGTTGCAGACCGGAACGGTGGTGGTTTCTAGTTGCTAGGGTTTACAATGGAGGATCGAAGTTGATTTGTTGATGAGAGGAAAAACGGTGTAGTTTCCTTCTTTTTGAGCTTGCAAACCATCGTTTCAGAGCTATAACGACAACATCCCCGGAGAAGAAGAGAGACGGGTGGTTGAAACCCAAAATGGCGGTGGATTTGAAAAACCGTTTGAGCTGCCATAAATGGTGTTGAGAGGAGATAAAGACCTCCAACGGATCTGTTTTGTCTTCAAGATATGAACAAATCTGAAGTTGGGAAGGGTGATTTGGTGGAAGCCATGATTTTGAACATCTGATGTGAACCCTTATTCTTCACCTCGTGCAACTTCAGGCGCCTGATTCTACATCTATTACTACTTTGGATTTGGGGATTCAAGTTCTTTGGAAGCATGTGAAGCAACTTAATGTTTGTTCTTGAAGCTCATTTCCAAAAACTTGTTTCCACATCTGTTTTAAGGATTTGTTCTTGAACCCCAGATCTAAACATCATATGTACTTGTACTCAAATTTGAATATGATGTTCTTCAAAGTTATTTAGACCAACAAAAATTAGAGGGAGAAGATATAACTTGACCCTGATCTATGTGATGTTGAATTTTCGTTTTCAGAAATCATAAACACACACACACACATACATATATATATATATATATATATATATATAGAGAGAGAGAGAGAGAGAGAGAGAGAGATCCTCTTATTTTCTTAATTAATAAAATGAATTAAAAAAATGACTCCATGGCATTTGGTGACTTGGTAAGGCATGTGGAAGATATGGTGGATAACCTATTGACATATGTTCAAATACTGGCATTACTTAGCCTCTGTTGCCATGGAGGTTCGCCTGCAGTAGCTCCAGGGCATGAGGTAAAACCTCATGTTGCAGCGGAGGATTAGTCGGTGCGCAAAACCTGACCTGAAAACCCTCGTTAGGGAAGTTCCATTTCCAAAAAAAAATAATAAGTATTAAACATAAAAAACTGAAAGAAAACTAGAAAATAAATAGCCTGAGGATATTAAATTCATTTCAAGTTTACTGAGAGACCAAATCCGCAACGAAACTAACTCAAAATGACCACAAAGTCAAAAAAGTCGAGGTTTGAACTAAACCTCAGAAAAAATGCATACTACAGAGACTATTTTTACAGTTTTATCCTTTTTTAAACATGATGTACAAGCCTGTAAGAAAAAACTCATTTGTGACAAAGAAGACAAGTGAAATGTATTGAATTTTTTTTCCTTACTTGCTCCAATCACATATTATGTATATCCAAACAAACTTATTTTTCTTTAATTATCATGTACAAATGCCATATGCATATCCAATTATTCTTCAATAATTTATGGGCTGCTGTGATAACAAGTGTGCATAATCTAAGGTCAAAACCTGATGAATGTTACTCAGCAAAGTCACTACCGGGGGTATGGAATGACATAGATGGAATTGAAAAGGATCTAAGGAAAAAGAATATCCATGTTAAGACAGTGTTAGTCAAGCGACCGGCCAACAACGGATTCACTTGGAAATGTGGGCTTACCCCGTATGGATCTTTCACTGTGAATGCTCTCAGATTAAAGTGGGACTACCGGCCTCCATTGACCAATACGAAATTCCAATGGATAAAAGAAATCCCACTGAAAGTCTCCTGCTTCATTTGGAGAGCAAATTTGGGTAGAATTCCAACAACTATGGAGTTAGTAAAAAGAGGGGTGAATATTGATACTTCAATATGCCAGATGTGTGATGAAAAAGAAGAAAGTGTTGATCATGTTCTTGTAGAGTGTTCTTATGCAAAGATGGTCATGGAAGGAATAATGAGGTGGTGTAAGGTGAATATAAACATGGAAGATCTTCGAGCGGTGTCGGATGTCTTGAACTTTGCCAACAGATGGGGAACATGCACAAATAAACGAAAGATATTCCTGGCAATTTGCTACTCTACACTATGGAGAACCTGAATAGCAAGAAATGATACTGTTTATAAAAAAACGGCTACCACCTGATAAAGTAATCGATTATGTTAAATCTATGACTTTCAATTGGGTGAAGAACAGGGGTATCAAGATGGAGTTGATTTGGGCAAAATGGTCTCAATGCCATTTTTTCTATTAATTTGTATGTTTTTTTTTGTTTTTTCTCTCCTATTTTCTGTTATGACAATCAGTATTGCCACTGACGTGTGGTTGTAACTCTTTTCTCCTGTTTTCTTTTTTATAATATATTTACCGGTTAAAAAAAAAATTTATTCTTCAATAAATCGCACTTTAATAGGGGAAGCATACAAATTTAATCCAGGTAACATAAATAATTGGCACACTAATTTATCTCTAGCAAAGCATAATGTACAAGCACATGCAATCTAGAATAGTCCACTTAAATTGAATTTTTGAGGATGGGACATATATACACTAAATGAATGGACACTGTTTATTAAAAGTTGAAAGGGGTGTAAATAAAAATCATTGGAAATTAATGTGCCTAAACTAAAAAGACAATCATCCCCCCCTGCATGAGGTATGGTGTGTGGCTAAATCCGTTATTGGTTAGAGTATATACATATCTGCTCTCTGCTACATCACCACCTACCTTCACATTCTGCAAATCATTGAGAAAAATGACGATAGAATCCGATTCCACTTCACGCTCATTCCAATCAATGGAGATTGGAGGGGGAGCTGCCTCAGGAAACGAAAATCAACCTGGCGATGTCGACAACAAGTTGGCGGGGGCTCCGTACTCCTTATCCATCGCTATTTTCCTAATTTCATCCGTAACTGGTGTACACCAGTTCTACGCGAAAGCGGTAAAAACCGAATCTACTCTTTTTACGGTCTATGTTTGGTTCGCAATTGCTGCAATCTGCAGTTCCATCCTTACGATCTATACTAATCTCGTCCTGTTGACCACAACACGAAGTCCAATTGTTAAGAAACTAATGATGCTATTGAGGGAGATACTTCTCTGGATCTCGATCATCTTCACTCATACCTCTTTTATGTTCATCTCTTGCGTAGACGAGTTTACGCAAAGTATTATCATGTGTGCTGTAGTATACGCAGGGATTATCGTAATTGGGATCTTAGTTTTACTCGATCACTATCGTTACGTGGACAGAAATTCTACTGCAATTGACAGGAACGCTGGAACAGTTTATTCCACTACTTGTTCTATCTTTTTAGCTACTGCAACTAGCGCTATACATCAATTCTGGGGAATCCACGCCAAGGATACCAGTTTATATTCCATCTATTTAGGATTAGCTTGCTCTGCATTTGGGAGCGCGATGATTGTTATATATACGGATTGTTCTTTATTTCTAATTAGAAGTAGCAAATTGAGGGGGCTATTGTTTGGGTCAAGAACAGTTATGCTACTCATATCGCTTTTGATGATGCAGACTGGTTTTTGCTTGTTGTTGTTTACGAATGATCAGCAGAGACCAGGAAAGATAGCTATTTGTTTCATATTCGCTCTTTGTTACTCAACCGTCGTACGTCTTATTGCAATGGATACGATGGGAAACTCGATGGCAGCAGTCAACACTGGTTTGAACAAAGTCAAAGCTCCATTGGAACGTGGATTGAAATCGGCAAAAAAGGGGTACCGGAAACTAAGGGCCGCCGGCGGTTGGCTTTCTCCATCAGGTCGACGTTCTCCGCCGATAAAAGAGTGAGCAGTTTTATGAAAATAGTTTTAAGAGTTTTTTTTTTTTTCATTTTTTTTGCACATCTTTTGACCTTTTTACCTTCTTAGACGTGTATCAACGGGATGATGTTTTTTCCTGTTTGAATCACAAATTAAAAAATGATATCATATTTCATGTTCTCTAATATCAAATTTTCTGTTCCGACTTCCAAATATCATATGCATCTTCTAGTCTCATTTTGTCGGGTCTCTTTATATAATACATTTCAAACTTCATATTTTGTGTTTCCATTTCTTCAACTTCTCATATTTATTATTATTATTATTATTATTATTATTATTATTATTATGTATAAAAAATGGCATCAATACAAATATGGTGTTGGGGTTCTTGAATTTGCTTAGGGGATCCTTGAACACCGATTACTTTATAACATTTGTAAAAAACTTAGAAACTCATCTTCCCAACATCATCATCTATTATATCATTTTAGGACAAATAGACAGATGGTTTTCATTACTTACAACAAAACCTCACTACATAAATCCTACTCTACTCTCTTATACAATCACTCATCCTAATCTATTTACTAAACAGAAAATGATGAAAGACGAAGAACAGATGACGAACACATAAAACCCTAAAACAAGAACTGAGAGGATCTTCGAGTACTTAGAGACTAAACGAATACTTCCACAGTACCTCATCTCCTGGCTTTATAACCCCGGTTAACCGGATATAAAGATCCGCGCCTTGACCCGACAACTTTAACTAATTTCCACTATTAACCCTGCATAAACCTCAAATGACAAGTTTGACAATACCAACAATATTTAACACCCCTCCTCAAACTTGGCATTTAAAATTAAAAAAAACAATATCAACAAAAAGGATTTATTAAGCCAATTTCATCAATTAAAAAATTATGTTGTGACACACTTAAAAACTTAGTTAACATATCAGCTCTTTGTTTTAAAGAACCTATTTTTTCAACTTTTAAAACTCCATTTGTAATTTTTTCCCTAACAAAATGTAAATCAATTTCAAAATGCTTTGTTTTTTCATGAAACACAGGATTTAAAGCTAATTTAATAGCAGATTCACTATCACAAAAAACTGAAACAGGTAATGAACTTTTCATTCCCAAATCAAATAACAATTTTAAAATCCAAATAATTTCACATGTAATAGAACCTAAAGCTCTGTATTCTGATTCTGTAGAGGATCTAGATACAGTAGCTTGTTTTTTACTCTTCCAGGAAATCAGTGAATTTCCAAAATAAACAAAATATCCAGTGACAGATTTTCTTGAATTAAGACATTTAGCCCAATCAGCATCTACATAACCCACCAAGTCATAATTTCCTGATTTAACAATAGAAACACCACGACCAGCACTATTTTTTAAATATCTAAGTAACCTAAAAGCAATGTTTAAATGTGACTTATGTGGTTTATGCATAAACTGACTAAGAATTTGAACACAATAAGATATATCCGGCCTTGTAATAGTCAAATATATAAGCTTTCCAACCAATTTCTGAAATTCAGTAACATTTTCAAGTAAAGGATCACTACTATCACAACTCCTTTTAGGAACAAAATTTGCCTCTAAAGGAGTTGAAGCAGGCTTACAACCCAACATACCAAATTCATGTAACAATTCAAGACAATATTTTCTTTGGTTTAAACATATTCCTTTATTAGTATCTATTACTTCAATTCCAAGGAAGTAATTCAACTTCCCCAAATCTTTAATCAAAAACTTTGAGTTAAGAAAAGTTTTAACATTTTGAACTTCAATTTCATTACTTCCTGTGAGAATAATATCATCCACATAAACCAACAGAACAACAATTGAACTACTGTTCTGTTTAATAAACAAAGAGTAATCATTTATACTTTGAATAAAACCAAAACTAAACAGTTCAAAACACAACTTTTCATTCCATTTTCTAGGAGCCTGTTTTAACCCATATAAAGATTTAACTAGTTTACACACTCTAGTATCACCCTTAGTATGATACCCTTGAGGCAAACTCATATACACATCCTCAGTTAAATCTCCATAAAGAAAAGCATAATTAATATCTAACTGATATAAAGGCCAAGAATTATTAACAGACAAAGTAATAACTATACGAACTGTAACGATTTTTGCTACAGGAGAAAAAGTTTCCTGATAATCAACTCCTTCTCTTTGATTATAACCCTTAGCTACAAGATGAGCCTTATACCTCTCTACTCACTTACAGCCTATAGGTTTACGTTTTTTAGGAAGTTCTACAATATCCCAGGTATGATTACGATATAAAGCTTCCATTTCATTATTCATTGCTTCAATCCAATTTGGATCTGCACAAGCTTCTTCAAACGTCTTTGGTTCAACAGTTTTATTTAAATTAGAACAAAAACACTTATTTTCAGCACTAAGAACATAATAATTCATCATATGTTCAATTCCATATCTATGCTTCCCTTCAACAATATAATCACTGAATTTAACAGGCATTCGAGACTCTCTTCTAGACCTAGATGCCCCTATTGACTGTCCTAGAGAAGGCAATGAAGTTGAATGACTATTTTCCTCAGTTGAATCTGAATGACTCGGCATAGTCCTATCAAATGAAGGTTCAGATACCTCGCTAGTCTGGTTATGACTATCAACAGTAGTATCAACCAAAGTTTCACCAAGATCCTGAGCTGCATTAGAGCCATCCATTTGATGGTTAACACTCAAGTCATTGAGATCTATTAAATCATTCACATAATCAGAATTATCATAATCATCGTAGGAAAAAGGGTCTACTAAATCTCTAGAAACAAATCGATTATCAACAGTTGTTGATTTCAGTTTAAATGGAAAGACTGACTCATAAAACTTCACATCCCTGGAAACAAAAACAGAATTTGTATCAAGACTCAAAAGTTTATAACCCTTTTTTTCAGAAGAATACCCTAACAAAACACACTTTTCAGCTCTTTCAGAAAACTTATCAAAATTATTAAGTTTGGTAGCAAAACATAAACTGCCAAAGACTCTTAGATGATCAAACACAGGCATTTTCTTAAACACTAACTCATAAGGAGACTGTCCTTTTAAACTGAAGTTGGCATTCTGTTTATCAAGAACACTGAAGTGAGGATAGCCTCTCCCCAATATTTAATTGGAAGACCAGACTGAAAAAGTAAAGACCTAGCAACATTAAGAATATGCCTATGTTTCCTTTCAACAACCCCATTTTGCTGGGGTGTATAAACACAAGTAGTCTGGTGAATAATACCATTAAGATTAAGAAAAGATTCCATTTT